TTATTTAAAATAAAATATGTTACATTAAAGTGTTTCATGCGACCATGATGAATAAAAAACATACTTAATATCAAGCATTTTTACTGCACCAATGTGGAGAAATAACAATAAAAGTCCATATTTTCTCATATCTGAGCTCTTTGTTTGTGTTTTTGTTTGTTGTTATTTATTCGTTGTTTGTAAATCACTTTGGATCTCTGTGTCAGAAAGGTGCAATATAAATAAAGCTTTACACACACACACACGAGCAGCTGATCGATCAGATGATCAGATGATCGATCAGATGACCGTCACGTGGCTCAGTCAGCTGATGCTAACGCTAGTAGCCGCAGTGCAGAGACGGACTGACGGTCGGACAGGATGCCTTTCTCCGAGCTGTATTTCAACGTCGACAACGGCTACCTGGAGGGGCTGGTGAGAGGATTCAAAGCAGGAATACTGTCCCAGGCGGATTATTTAAACCTGGTTCAGTGTGAAACTCTGGAAGGTGAGTTTAAAACGGTGCTAACTCACAGCTAATGGCTGCTTAGCTGCTCGGGCTAACGCCAGCTGTCAGTGTCACAGCGGCTCGGCTCTGTCACACACACACTGTTATATGTTATATTAAAGCTTCCTGTGGTCGGGCTGTTGTGTTAGTGCATCGTTGAGCTGTGCGTCGACATTTTGCACTATTAAAGGCGACATTTCGTTTTATATTTGGTTATTTCTGGGACTTGGTGGCCAGCGAGCTAATGCTAACGCACTCCCAGTGTTTAGTGGTCTGTTGATCAATGATGGGTTTTTTTATTTTTTTTTTTAGAGGAAGTGAAACTACAGAAGAGATTTCTACGCTGTTGTGTTAATTCAGCTTCGATAAAGCCGCATTAAAGTTGGCTTTAGCAGTTTATTGTGCTCTTTAACGATGAACTGACTGCTAAACATCAGTATGAGAGACTTTATTGCAGTAAACAGGCTGTAAAAGGTAACAACAGTATTTCTCACTGTACTTCACCATAACACAAATAACACTTATCTTTTGTCTGTGCAGCATCAAAGTCCAGTTAAGATCCTGAATCCCAGCGAGCGTCCTGTTACATCAACACAAGACATTACCACACAGTAATAATGTCACTTTAATGTTAACTGTGGTGGTTTGTGTATTTCACTCACTATCAGATCAAACTGCATATTATTCCACAGTGGAAGTAAAACCAGTGGCTGTTGGGGAATAAATCCAAATACAGTGTTTATATGTGGAAAGCTGTTTCATCCTTATTGCTGTGTGATTTAAGATTACATTCATTGTGTCTGTATTTTAAAATAAACCTGTACTACGTCGTTGGGGCACACCTGCACAGAGGCGGCTCGGATCTGAGGGGCTGGGGGAAAACTGGACACGATTAGTTCAGAATTTATTAACGAATTGGCTCAGTTTTTTTTTATTTTTTTAGGTTTATTTCAAACTTAACTCATTCAGAATATTTTTCCTGCTCATCTGTACTTTCCGTGTGTCTCCTCTGCAGATCTGAAGCTCCACCTGCAGAGCACAGACTATGGCAGCTTCCTGGCAAACGAGGCGTCTCCGCTCACTGTGTCTGTTATCGACGACAAGCTGAAGGAGAAGATGGTTGTGGAGTTTCGCCACATGAGGAACCAGTCATACGAGCCGCTCGCCAGCTTCATGGACTTCATCACGTAAGCTGTCCTGTTGAAATGGCTCTTGAACTATAACGTGGCCTGTAAATGTTCTCTTATGAATTCTCCACAGTGACCAGAATCAGATGCACAGTGTTTGTATGCTGCTTGTACGGCGATGCTTCCACAGGGACATGAAGTTTCAAGCTTCTTTCACTGCACCATTACATCACACTGACATATTCTGGGTGTTACATTTATTACATTTCCCCAAAATTCAGCCTGACAGAGTTTATACATCTTTATAAAAGAGACTTAATCAGGCATTTTGGGAATTACATCAAGTCGTGCACGTCAATCAATCCAAGTAATCCTTCCTGAGTTCACCTTACTGAGGGGAAATGGTGGATACACAACGACCTTTGACTCTCAAGAAACAAACTCTTGTGAAAGCGACATTAAAGTGCTGAACGTTTTTACAAAGCAAACATGTACGGTAGATGTTTTAGTTGATTTCCTGGTTTGAGGTCATATCTGTACGTAATGACAACCAGCTTATAGAAACGTGTTTGAGAATGCTAATCCATAAGAGTGAATCCCTCTTGTGTCAGAGTATGTTATCTTGTGGCACTAAAGCTGCAAGCGGGGACTGTTATGTAACATCATTGGTGCATTCAGGTGTGCTTGGACACCTGAGATCTGTCACTTGCTGTAAAGCGATACATTGATGAGGTGTGTTGTTGGAAAAAAGAAACCCAGAAGAAAAGCAGAAACGAACACCACTAAAAATAGTTTTTTTGTTTTAAAAATGTTGAGTCATTGAATGCACCGTGTGTCCTGCCTGTAAATGCATTACAGTGCATTCGACACTAAGATAAAGGTGACTAAATGTTCATAGATTTCATGTCTCAGCAGGTTGTTTTTTATTCTGTACTATAATGGAAGGTTGGAAATGTTAATGTAGGCTTTAAAAACAGATGGCAGTGATATAAAATATACTGTATAATGTGTAGTAATGTGGACTAAAACCTGCCATAGGATATAAGTGATACTGTTTAAGAAAAAGAACAGATCCTGGTAGCAGATAGATTGTGTAAAGATAGTTTTGGCTTCTCCGCTTTTGTAATGACCACCCCCCCTCCCCACCCTACCTTGTGACTTCAGGTACAGCTATATGATTGATAACGTCATCCTGCTGATCACGGGAACCCTCCACCAGCGGGCAATCTCCGAGTTGGTGCCAAAGTGTCATCCACTGGGCAGCTTCGAGCAGATGGAGGCGGTCAACATCGCCCAGACCCCCGCCGAGCTTTACAACGCCATCCTGGTGGACACGCCCCTGGGTGAGTACCTCTATATGAACTGCTATTTAAACTAAATGATGTGAAAACTGGATAGTAATGTCTCCTGCCGAACAGAAGATGGTGCCACAGCTAAAAGAAACATTCTTTTCTTCTCAGCTGCATTCTTCCAGGACTGCATATCTGAACAGGACTTGGATGAGATGAACATTGAAATCATCCGTAACACACTTTACAAGGTAAAGCACATTAAAGTGATGATGGCAATAAACATATTTAATGATAAGTGTGTTATCTAAAATTAAAGGCAGGATGAAGTGAAACAGCGAGAGATGAAACAAAAATGTAAGCAAATAAGGAAAATAAGCATCAAACAATCATCTTAAAAATTGTGAAAGATACAGACAACAGATCAGCATTTGCAAATATTTTGTTGAATGTGGAAGTTATGTAAATTACAAGGCGGTATAGATTGAGTTTAGTTTTATGTTACAATTTGAGAACAAATTTTCTTAAACTAACAACTACATTGTGTCCTCTCAGGCTTACCTGGAGGCTTTCTACAAGTTCTGCTCCAACCTCGGAGGAACCACAGCTGACACCATGTGTCCTATTCTGGAGGTGAGTTTATAGGGTGGAAACACACGCACACACACACAACTGGAGGAGGGCATCTGAGTTAAAGTTGTAAGTTTGTCACATTCAGTCCCAATAAATTAGCTTTTTATTCCACAACAAAAGCAAAATTACATTTACTTTATAGTATATTAATTCACCTTTTTAGAATCCTATATTGACTGGAAGTAGGTCCAGTGAGATAAAAGTGTGTACATGAAACGTTGACGTGTGTTGAGGTTGGCTCATCCGTGTGCTTGTGGCTGTGGATTAAAGAGTCCGCTCACTCAGTCACTCGTTGTTGCTCCACTGATCTTCCCGTCTCTGCTGTAGTTCGAGGCCGACAGGAGAGCCTTCATCATCACAATCAACTCGTTTGGCACCGAGCTGTCCAAGGAAGACCGCGCCAAGCTCTTCCCCCACTGCGGCAAGCTTTACCCAGAAGGCCTTGCTCAGCTGGCCCGGGCAGATGACTACGAGCAGGTCAAGGCTGTGGCTGATTTCTATCCTGTAAGTCCAAAAGCTAGTGGCCTGCTCATAACACCTCACCTTTTAAATATATAATATGTAACAATTGACATGTTAACTTCTCTGGTTTTGCACCAATCCCTCTGAGTTTAGTATCTATGAAGTTAAAGCAAAGCAAACAGTCAGTGTACCTGCCACACTTGTATGGCTGTAACTCCCTGTTTTCCATTCTCCCGTTGGTGTTTGTTACAGTTTGTGTGAAGTTTAATGTTTTAATAATCACTATCGTATGTCTGAACTTGGCTCATGTCCTCAGGAGTACAAGCTGCTGTTCGAGGGTGCCGGCAGCAACCCAGGCGACAAAACACTGGAGGACCGTTTCTTCGAGCATGAGGTGACACATGATCAGACATACACTGACTCCCTAGTGGAGAGCTGTCTTCAACCCGTTCCACACAGCTGGTGCACTGTGTAACGTCTTGCTTTTTAATTACAGCGCCCATGTTAACAGGTTAGGCATTGCTTGCGTGAGCCAAGTCGAGGTTTCGCCTATTTTTGTGCGTGCGTGG